GCCCTGCCCATAGGGGTCTGTGCAGATGGGGCACTCCTCCCGTGCCCCCACCTGTTCTTGGCCCTCTGCTGGCAGGGTCCAGGCCGCAGCCGTGGCTGTGACCCCCAGCAGGGGCTCGCTGTCAGGAGCCCTGGCACCCTGGGGGGCTCTGAGGTCATCCCTTTCATCTGCTGGTACTTGGCACAGTGGGTCTGGGTGCTCAGAGACCCGAGAGGCAGGAGGTGGAGTGGCCAGCCCAGAGATGGGGGCCCCAGGGCAGAGCTCTGAGGCAGGAGCCCCAGGGCAAGAGTCAGAGTGGGTAGGCTGGGACCCCAGGGCGGCAAGGGGGTGTTCAGCTCTGTGAAGATCAGTGTGACCCTGCCTGGCCACTGCAGACCCCACTCCAGCACTGACCTTGGCCGGCTCACCCCCGGAGGTCAGCTTCGCTCTGCCCGGCTGTGTGTGCCAGCTCCAGCTTCTCTTGGCCAGATGGTGCCGCCCCGGCCAGATCTGCCTGGCTGGGCCTGGCCTGGGCCGCCTCAGTACCAAGTCAGCTACTACCGGAGACCGACCGACCGACTGAGACGACTGAGACGACAGAGACCGACCTTGGGCAGGCAAACCTGCCAGACTTCTCCAACAGGATTTCCCCTCCAGATGGCCCAGGGCCCCTCCCAGGGGCGGGGACCACCGCGTCACCTCTTCCCCTCCCCCTCCCGGCAACCTCCTGCCACCTCTCAGGTACCAGCCAGGCTTGTTGTGCCTTCCCAAACAGCACCCGGCCCTGCCCTCGGCAAACGATAGGTGACGTCCACGTGAGGCTCCACAGTGACCCGGGCAGAGGGAACTGAGCAGGGGTAAAAGCACAGCACACCCACGCCACGGCAGGGCCTGGCCACGGTGCCAGGCGAGCAGGAGGGAGGAACAAGGCAGGCCTCAGAAGCATCGGGGCTGGCTAACCGGTTTCCTGTGGGGTCTCCCCTCCTACTGGGTATCCTAGCTGCCCAAGTCTGAGCCCCATGGGAGCACAGACTGTGACAGGGTGGCCAACACTGGCATGCCCTATAGGCTGCAGTGGGGAGGCAGGGCACGCCCCCACAGTGGAGTGGCCGCCTGTCCCTGGCAGGGACCCTGCGCTAGGCAGACAGGGTAGTGTGTGTGTCAGGGTGGGGGCTGTGCAAGGGGCCTGGGCTCAGCTGGGGCTGCCAGGTGCAGGGGACCACCCTAGCCTGCTCTGATGAGAACCCTAGGATTGGAGGGTCCCCAGGAGGGCAGCTGTCGAGGCGGGCATGGCCAGCGGGGCAGTGCCTAGGCCCACGTTTCGGTCTGGAGGCGCAGCGTCCGCTGGAGCCTGGCAAGGTAGGCAGCCGCGTCGGGGCCGGAGAGCCCACCTTCCTCCTGGAAGATGCTCGTCAAGGCTTCCAAAACACCCTCCGGCATGGACTTGGCGTTGCTGGAGGGTGGGCCCCAGGCTCCATGAGGCTGGGTCCTGAGAGCCGGCCCGGGCCTAGGCCACCGCACCCCAGGGCCTAGGCCACCGCACCCCAGGGCCTGGACTCACCCTGCCAGGTAGAAGGAGGCGCCCCTGCGGTCCAGCAGCTCCCACACGAGCGGCCCCTGCTCCCGGAGTCGCTGCTGCACATACACCTTCTGCTCCTGCAGGCGACAGGCAGGCTGAGCCAAACCTTGCACAGCCCCACCCCCGGCCCCAGCACACGCACCTGTTCCCGGGAGAAGGCCGTGAAGAGGGTCAGGTAGCCTGTCTGCTCCAGCCTCCGCCACTCGGCCTCCCAGTAGAAGTCCCGGTCCCGCCAGCGGCACCCAAAGAACAAGAAGTTCCCTGGGAAGTCAGAGGAAGGCCAGCGTGGGCACAGGCCTTCGGGTTTGGTCAGGCTAGCCCTGCCCCAGGGCTTCTGGATACTCACCGGTCCGGCCCTGGGCCACGCGCTCCTGCACAGTCGCTCGGAAGGGCGCCACGCCAGTGCCAGGTCCCACCATGACCACGGGTGTGTCTGGCATCTCTGGGAAGGTCAGGCTCCCAGGCTGCACCCACAAGGGCACCTGAACAGGGCCTGCTGCAAGAAGGAAGTTGCAGGATGAGGCTCTGAGCCCTGGGTCCTGGAGCCTAGCAGGCTGGGGGCACAGTGGAGCAGGGGTCACCTTGTCCAGGGTCCAGGGATGCCAGCCAGGAGGAGCAGAGGCCCCGGCGCGGCTCTTTGAGACGGGTCTGGTACTGCACCACGGCCACGAGGATCTGCAGCCGCGACGGGTGAGCCTGGGGGCAGACCATGGTGTTGAGCCGGGCCAGGCTGCTCATTGCTCCTGGACTGCAGATGCCACCCACACCACCCACGCCGGTCCCCGGGCAGTGCACAGCCCTCACTGCAAGCCCCCAGGGCCCAGTCCTCGGCTCTGCCCATTGGACCCCTCACCAGCAGAGAGGAGGCAATGGAGAAGGTCCGGGGTCGGATCGGGGGGATGAGGTCCAGCAGGTAGTCCAGGGGGATGGCGCTGGCCGTGTGTGGGAAGTCGCACAGCACCTGAGTGCATAGAGTTTCAGCTGGGCCCCAGCATGGCCATGGCCCGCCCGGGGCTGCCGGCCTCACCTCCAGGATGGTCCTGCGGGGCCGGGTGCAGTACTGCAGCCGCTCCTCCTGGCCTTCCATGGAGCTGAGCTCCAGCAGCTTCCCCCGCTCCAGCTCATGAGGAGAGAGGCAGGCCAGGAGCTCAAAGAAGGAGCGGCGAGGGACACTAGCGATGTCCAGGTGCTGGGACACCAGATGGCGCAGGGAGCAGGGCTGGGGCAGCCTCGGGGGGCAGGTGATGCCTGCAGTGACGGGCGGGAGACCTCGGTGCGCTGGCAGCCGGGGAGGGTGGGACCGCCCGCCAGCCACAAGAGGAGGGAGTGAGGGGCCGTGCCAGGCCCACCAGCCTTCTGGGCCCACCTGGCTCCCGCGGCTGCAGCGTGAGGTACTGGTCAGGATTCAGGCCCAGCACCTGGCAGAACTTCTGGACATGGCGAGCTGAGTTCGAGGGTTGGATCAGCACCACGTGGCCAGCAGTGAAGCTGTGTGGGAAAGCCGCAGAAGCTGCAGGGGTGCCAGGCGCTCAGGGGCACCGTAGAGAAAGGGGGTGGGAGGCTGGGGAGGACCGGCAGGGGTCTGTGGTCGGAGGCCATCTTCCCTGCAGCCTGGTGTGAGCTCCTCCCTGGCAGTGGCAGCCCCACTGAGCGCAGGCCCACCGCCCGCCCTGCCCCGCCCTGTCCGGCTGCTGATGCTTGCAACTGCCATGTCTTTGGGCCTCACCTGATGCCAGAGCCCGAGATGTCGAACTCAATGAGACGCACATCCTGGAAGTGTGAGGGGCTGGTCACCCTCTGGTTGGAGACCACAGGTGCCAGGAAGGGCTTCGACTCTGAAGGGGGACCCCCTGGGCTGGCGCAGGCCATATGTGGCTCCTGGGAGCACTCGCTGGGGGCCCCCTGGAGGAGCTGCATGGTGAACCTGGAGGGCAAGCTGGGGGCAAGGGTGCCGTCAGGCCAGGGCCCAGCCAGGCTGGGTCTGCCATGCTCCGGGGCTGACCTGGGCCCACACTTACGGGACTCCGGGGGAGATCTCGGTGAGGCCATCGGGCATAGGGTAGAGCCCCAGCACTCTCTCCCACAGGTCTCGCAGCCAGGGGTCGATGGCAGCATCGGCCCTGGGGACGGAAGCTGGCTGAGCTGGGCGCCCTACTGGGGCTCAGGGCTGGCACTGCCTCCCGCGCTCACCCTAGCTCATGCTGCTCATCGCCCAGGCACAGGGGCAGGAGGGCACTGGCCCCAAGCTGAAGCAGTCGGCGGTGCAGCTTCTTGGCCACGAAGTTGAACCTGCAGACAGAGTGGCCCAGGCTTTGGGTGGGAGCTGGGGAGAGAGGGCCCAGGTCCCAGACCCAGGGGCTCTGGGAGCTGGGGCAGGGGTAGGCACCAGGGACGGCAGGCGTGCTGGAAGCTGAGAGCAGGCCTGGGTGCAGCCGGGGCTCATCCCCGCAGCCCAGAGGACCTGGAACAGACAGGCCTCCGGACCACCTGGTTGGGCAGGCCGCTTGGGGCCGAGGAGCTTGAGCTGGAAGAGGCTCCGGTCCCTCCCACTTGGGTCCTAAAGGACAGCTCCTCCCCTTGGCAGCCAGGCTCGCTGAGCTCTCCTGTGCCTGTGGGCTGCAGGGCCTTCCTCCAGCTTTGGAGACACCTGAGCTCGTGGCTCCCGGCAGGGCCGGCAGCCATCAGTCCTCTATTTCCTTGCCAGGCCAGGAATGAGGGCGCAGGCGTGTCAGAGCGCGGGGCCTGGGCAGCGTGCTTTGCTCTGCTCTGTGCAGGAGGCGCAAGGTGGTCCCTGCTGGCTCAGTGTGGCCTTGTCTCTGGTCCTCAGCCCCCTGCACAGTGGTGGCACAGCAGTGCAGCGGGCCTGCTTCCCATGGTGCATGGGGAGGACCGCAGCCCAGACACCCGCAACCCCACTCACTTGGTGTATGAGGAGTCCCCGAGGCCCAGGACAGCGAAGTCCATCCGACAGAGAGAGGTGGGGGGCAGGCTCTTCCGGAATATGAACCTCCAGAAATTCTGGCCAGAGGGAAGCCTGCATTAGCACCCTGGCTCTGGACCACCCTGTGCAGGGGGTGGGGCGGGGGCAGGGCAGGGGGGGGCCCCCGGGCCCCCTT